AGAATATATATACGCATGAAATAAGACCATATTATGAAATCAAAGGTTAGTCTAATCTAAAAAAATCTATATAGCGTAAATCATCTTTAAAAATTCTTGCTGCTTTTCGATAAATAATCAAAAGTTCTATAAACTGTGTTTATGCATTTTGAGTATACCAGTGTTGAGTTGCTATTAGCATTGCCCGGTATTTATTTCTACGTGGTTTAAACTTCTTTAATGTATATATATACAATTCGATTGGCCAGTCATATAAAGCAACTCTAAAATCGCTTTTCAAAAAATTTCGTAGCCAATCAAATTTCAAGATCAGGCATAACATTGCATGATCAGGAAAACGGTCATTTTGTCAAAAATCATCTATAACTCAAAATTTAGTCTATGAAACTGCCTTCTGCGTATTAACAAAAAGTTTTCTTTGCAAAATTTTAGTATAACTATAACTCTCTAAATCTAACCTACTTCCAATACCCTAACTCTAACCCAATAGCCGAATGTTTTTTCTTAGCAAAATTTTTTTCTTAGTAATAAGATCACATGATGTGCGAAATTTTTTATGCATATTATGTTGCACAATATTATTTATATTTTATGCATATTAGGTTGCATAAATAATATTTATGTAATTTATCATGTGTTATATATTTAATCTACAGGGGGGATGGCATATAATAAAACCTACGGGAATGGTATATAGATTTACTCTTTAAAAAATTTTAACCAAAAAATAATTTATAAACTCTTTAAATATTAATTTTAGATCTATAATTTCTTAAGAGAAATTTCAATTTAAATAAAGAATTACAACTTTTATTATTATAATTTTGTAATTTACTTGTAAAAAATAAGACTTATATAGCAAAAGTTAATATTTAGAATTTTATTTTAAGAATTTTATTTTTAAAAAATTTTAGGACAAATTTGTAAAGTAACAGTTTAAGAGATAAGAATTATGAATACAATAATAAACAATAGAAAGCATAATTTTTATAAATAAAAATTGATGCTTTGATGCATATTTGCTTATCTATTCTCTGATTTTTAGCAATTTTTATTTTCATTTAAGAATTTTTATTGGGTTGATAAAATTATCATCAAAAATGAGTGAAAAAATTTGTTAATTGTTTGAGTCAATGTTAAGTTAATGGCTGATCAGAAGCAATATGCTCCTGTAGCAGAAACAAAGCTAAATTTGCACAATCAAGTAGAACTGAGTTTGCATAATAAATTTAGATTGAATTTATATAATTAGAGCTCAGGTGAGTATGATCTAAATAACCTTCTGTATACAATAATTATTAACCCATACTGATCCTGTACTAATAATCACTATTTTAACTGAACAGACCACAATTTATGACCAATTTTTTCTCAATAGAACCTACTACTTTCTTAATAATTATAAGCAAAGTTGGGACATTACAGGTGCCCTATTGCATTATTTGTGTTAATTTTGGTTAAATTCTTTAATATATATTAAATAATATCAATAAGAATTGAACATATGCTTATATCAGAATCATCAGTATAGATTTTATTTGAATGTAGTGTGATTTATTATTGTTAGCACAGATGCAATTAGTATTGCACGAGTGATCACCATAGCAAGTTGAGTTGTGCTGCTTAATGCAAGCTAATTAATACAGCTACCTATCAACATAATCATGTGATATTTATCTTCAATACTATAATATAAAAATAGCAGGTTCCTTTAGGAGAGAGCTGGTTGCAAATTGAGGCTAGCTAAAACTGAATTGGAATGGCATATATAGAATTATAATTGCATTTTCTACTAAATCAGCCTTTTTCTTACAATATTAATTATTATGTTAGAATTATATGTGAAAGTCATTAAAATCATACTTCTTCAGGGTGTGGTGTGGTGACTTAGTGTAGTTGGTAAGTTGTTGCACTTACAAGCAGCATGACAAGAGTTCAAATTTCACTAGTGATGAAATTCGAATTTGCTAAAATGTATTACAGTAAAACTGTATGATATGTCAATTGGGTCAGCACCTGTAACCTTGGTCTCACCAACTCGTATTGGGAGGTTGTGGAATGTAGTATAACATATAAGTTACACAAAACCCGAGTGAAGCAGCCAAATAAATTCAAGGGATCAGGGGATACAGAAGCCTGCTTGGGAAGTTCTGAGTAGAGAGGTAGCACAGATCTTTGATGATGCCATGTAAAGGATTATCATCTGAGAAACCAGACACCAAAGGCAAACTGAATGAGAACAAAGTGTTTGGCAAGCACTACACCAACCAGGCTGCCAAATTAACTGGAGGAAAAAGGATTCATCTAGAATACCAGAGGACGCCAACTGGTCACTTCTGGTCTATCTGAATTGGAAGTTTAGGTTGTGATAGTTGGCATCAAAGTACTGTTGATAGTCCGTAAAGAGGGTGCTGAGATTTGGGTGAACTTTGCAAGGTCACAGAGTAGGTAATGGAGTGGGGGTAAAAAGCTACAAGTACTTGACAATGGCCTAGGCGTAAGTTACCAAAAATCTAGGTGATATATGTGTGGGACATAAACCACTCTGGTAGGCTTATCACAAGAATAAAGAACCTCTATATGGTAGTGTATATCTGCTTTAAAGTCCTAAGAGGCTTACATGGCAGTTTTTTTTGAAGAGAATATCCTGATGGCACTAAGTTGATTAAAGGGTTTAATTGGCTAACTCAAGTAATAGTGGGTTACAGATATGGCATCTAGTATAATTCATATGGATTATATATGCAAGACTGCTTAAATAGACAACCAAAAGTTGTATATAAGGCTAGAATATATCCTCATTAATATAACAAAGTCAGAGGTAGCTATGTGGTTACCCTGGCATTTAATCCAAAGTTTAATAAAACATGCTAGACCCCAAAGTGGTTACCTTGACATTAAAAAAAAAAATCATACTCCTTCTGTAATCTTGATTATACAGAATCAGTTCTGTTCCTGTTGCTATTTTCATGAAGCACATTACTTTGCTTAACACCTTTTTTGATCTGTTATAATATATGTGAGAAGATCTTTATAGTACATACTTTAATTTTTTAAAAATTATATCATTCTGATATTAATCAGCTATAATTTCTAACCTAAAAAAGTATAAAAAGTTTATAAATCAGCCAATATAATATGATCTGTTTACTTATACTAGTACATGATTAATTAATTAAGCTTTGATATACTGATTAGTGATAGGCTACTGTGCAGGCATTTTTAAGAGACTTCGCAATGTAATTTTTATAATTCAGGCCAGCTGGCATAATTCTGGTTGGCTTTATAATGCAGGCTTGAATTAACCAATTAGAAAATCATTCTGAATTAGCCTGAAAACACAGAAAATTTGTATTATTTAATAATAAATAGGACCATCCCAAGTATGGCTGAGTTTGTAGATCATTATACTAGTAAATCAATTGATTTAAATTTTTTTTTATTCGTATTACAATACATTTTTCAGAAGCTCAGGTAGATTATTTCATCTTATAAACCAGTCAAGTATATTAAGTAAACTTGAAGTTTTCATACCATACTATAACAATATCAGTTGAATCCCTCTTGATCCTTCAACCTTTATATTACAATTTACCTACTGAAGTTATAAATAAATTATGATCACCACGTTGGCAAAATCTTTTTTGTTAAACAAAAAAATGTAAGAAAAACCTCAAAATAATGCTTTATAATGTTAGTGTAAGTGGAAGAAATTAGTTTGTATATTTTTTTATTATATATTAATGATGCCTGACAAAATTATTTTTGCAATGATAAATAGTTTTGTTATAGTTTCGTCATGGCGAAACCTCGACAGTTAACGAAACCCCTGACAATTGATGAAAACTATGACAAATTGATGAAATATATAATTATTTGACAAAATATATGACAAATTGATGAAACCCTTGACAAATTAATTTGATAACCTAATGATATACAGCCAACTCTCTTCTAAAAAGCTTCTTTATAACGACCTCTAAATATATTAAATCTTTTAAAAGTAATGTTATTTTACTATATTTAAAAGTTTCAATAAATCATATCTAATATATTTATTTTCATGAGTAATATCATTTTTTAAAAGGAAATTGCTTAAAGCCAGCACAGTATATCACAAATTACTATTTATATAGAAGATTGTGACAGTTTAGGGACAGTTTAGAGCCATATAGACTAAGATTAAAAGTAAGTTATACCAGGTTGGTTAAAAGTCCCTAAACAGGTCCCTCTTTTATCATCTCTGTTAATATTTAATTTTATTATTTTTTATATGTAAATATTGTATTAGTATATATATATATATAAAATTAAATATTCACAGAGATGGTAAAAGATGGACCTGTTTATGGACTTTTAACCAACCTGGTATATAAAATTGTTTACAACATTTTTACTTAATATGCCAAATTGGGTTTAGATACTTGTTTCTTGTATTCTTTACATTTTTTACATTTTTTGCTTTGTCAGCTGATTTGTATAAACAAAAATTTGTAATTTTGATTAGTCCTAAGCATTAGAAAATCTTGTAATATACTTGGCATTAAGTAACCCCAAAAAAGAAAATTAAATTTTGTAAACAAAGTGCATAAAAATAGAATTTTAGGGTTAGAATATTAGTATTAGAGATTATAGCGATGGATATCCTACTATATATACAATTTCATTTCCATCATGTTTAATTAATATACAGAGTCAATTTAAATATAAATTTTGAGTATTTTTACTTTCTTTTCTTCTTCGCATATGTTCAGATTTGATATAGCTATTCTTGATATAGTCACAAATTAGAAGAAAATCTATTTTGTTTTACTAATTCTTATAAAGTATAAAAAACTTATCTTGCATCCTCTGATTAGCAATTTCTTTTATAGGAGTTTTTATTGCTTGTATATAAGTTTTGCAGCTATAATTTAATGAAATTTTTTAATAAAGAATGTTAATTTAAAAAGATTTAAGATTTAGTATATTTAAAGATTGTCATAAAGAAGCTTGCTAAAAGAGAATCAACTGTATTTCATTATGTTACCAAATCAATTTATCAAGAGTTTTATCAATTCGTTATAGATTTCGCCAATTCAGTATAAATTTTGTCAATTTGCCATAGATTTCATTAATCATTAGAGGTTTCATCAATCGTCAATTTGTCATTCAAAAATCACTTGACGAAAGGTTTTGTTATTTGCAATAGTGAAAATTTTGTCATTTGTCAGACATTATTATTATATATATTGCATAGAAATCCTTTAGAAATTGAAAGTAAATAAATAATTTATTGGGCTTCCTCTTTCCCTCTCTATAACTAATGGTAGCTAGTCTTTAATTAGTTTATAAATAGAAAATTAAGAGGTGTTTTGCTAAACTTAGGTGGTTATACAAGATACAATAGATAGTTCAAATTAATATCATCTTGATACAAATTTATAACTAATCTTATTATGTATACAGCAAATTCATAATAAAAAAAAAAAAAAAGAAAGTAAATAAATAATGTTAATTAACTATGCGATTTATTAATATTATTAATAATATTATTATAGGTGCTTTTATAATACAACAAAAAGTTTATGTATAAGATATATTAAAATCGCAAGAGTTTTTTATTAGAATGATAGTTGTGTAAGATAGTAAAGTATAGGATATTAGAAATTTGAATAGGTGTAGAATTAGATATAGGATTTGCAACCGAAGTTAATAAACGTGCCAGATCCCAAAGTGGTCGCCTTAATATTAAAAAAAAATATACTCTCGTTAATATAACAAAGTCAGGGGTGGTCCTGTGGCTGCCCTGGCATTTGCAACTGAAGTTAATAAACATGCCAGACCCCAAGTGGTCACCTTAACATTAAAAAAAAAAAATTAGATATAGAATTAGACATATAATTATACATATATAAATTATTAAGATTTCGTAAATAAATGAAAATAAATACTAAGAAAAATTAATAATCCTGATTTAAATTAATAATTACATACCTGCTTACCTAGCATTAACAATTAGTAGCAATTATTTTGAACTTTAATTATGAATTTTAATTAAATTTCAGTTATTTTCATTATATAAAAATTTACAATTTTATTGGCTAATCAGCACGTGATATCTTCTTATGATAAAAATGTATGATTTTAATTGGCTTAACAAATATGCATAATCAGGATCATCATTTTCTTATTTGGGACAGTCTCTTCTGTTTTACCTAATAAGTTCATAAATCTGGTCAAATTTGCAGATTATTTGACCATATTTAAAAT